AAAATGGAGAGCTTGGCCACCTCTCCTTACTTTTGTTCACTGGCTTTACTTTGCCTTATTATTTCCTACCTTTTTTACGCACTTTAACATGATTTTAGCCACTATTTTTAACATATCAGGGGCTATTTTGGGGCTGTTGTAATATATTTAATTAAGGTATGCTTTGAATATTTAGCTTGTTGTGTTACAAATCTTCATATCTAGCTAGTTGTGCTGTGTCACCTATGCTTTGATAGTTTTTATTTGGTTAATTTTCATGTCAAGAGTTTCATCCTAAATAATCAATCTTGCATAAGCCATGTCTGCCACCTCCCTCTTCTTTTTTGTTGTTTTGTTTTGTTTTGAGAGTTACTTCAACCGATCGACGGTTATTCAAGGCATGGGATAAAGACCTATGCGCAATGGCTTAATCTCTATGGAAGTTCATCATGAAGGCATAGGCTCTCTTTTATGCCAAGAATCACTTCTCGTTTGATGTTTCTTCTCATTTAGTGGACTTAAACATCATTTTGGACAAACTGATTAAAGAATGGTAAAGACTAATGAAATCAGCTTAAATAAGCTAAACCGACAAAAAGAAAATGCTTAGAGTTGGTTGGATTCGGTTGGACGTTATGCCAAGTCCATCGTTCCGTGTATTGTCACGTATCAATTCATGATACGTTGATAAGACTTAGAACGTGTTTACTTCCCTCTTTGAGCCTCCATGATAAGAGGGAAGGGTGGTTTTTCATCACATTTATCAATTTTGTCCAAACATGTTCGGGATCATCAAGTCATCAACTTGTGCTAATTGATAGTTTTGAATTCGAATTTGTCATTCTCTTGAGTTTCCCATAACAGAGAGGGGAAGAAGGGACAAATAGGGCTTAAAAAGGCTCTATCTGCATTGTTCTCACCTCAAAGCACAAAACACTTTTGGCATAAAATTTGGTGCCGACCGGCACTATTTTGGCCTGGTCAGATCTCGTTGGGTGCTGGCCAGCTTCCATTGTTTGGTAAGCAGTAAGCTTTTGGCAAAAACTAAGGGCAATGGCTGAAGGTGAGATAGAGTAGTCTGGGTAGACAAAATAGCTTCTGGGCACTGTGTATGCGATGACTCATGGTTGCTTAGATTACTTTTCTCATTAGTATTGTTGTAAATAATTCTTATTGTCCTTGTTGCAATTATTATTGATATAATGCCTTTGTTGTAACAAATTAGATAGTTTAGCTATTCATTTATTACTTGTTCCAACCTTGTAATAAGTAGTTAACTAAATTAGCTTAGCTAGTTTTAGTTCAATTTATTCGTATGGGTTTGTAATCGTTCGCTATTAATCTTGACATTTGGACACTTATTCGGACCCTTCTGTGCAAGGGCAAATATATGTAAGCATGTATGTCTTCCAACCCCCATTTGTTTCTCCTTTTTTTATTTATCCGCTTATGATGGTAGCATAGAGCATCATGTTTACTTAGCATTCTCATGTTTGTATACACTCGTCTCACATGCATTTGGGTTTGGCTCATCATCTTAACCAATGTCAAACTTTAATTTCATTTCTTGAATACATGATTTATCACATGTTTTGAATCGGATCATATACCATGCTCATAGCTGAGCCTTTGAAAATTGCATAAATGTGTGCGTTGCATTAGTTACATTGTATTGTTTAGGAACATGCATATTTTCTAGTCATTTTTCTTTATTTGGCTTGCTTTGGAGTACTAGGTGAGCGTTTATTGCTTTAGCATCTTGCATTGCATGTGATTGTTGCCATGTCGAGCATGCTTTCCATGAGGCTAAATGCTTAGATGATAAACATGTTTGAATGCCGGTGGATGAAGGCTAATTGCTAAAATTGAGACAAATTGATTAATGTACAAACTTACTTTTTCAAGTGATACGTATTCAAAACAATTTTCAAACAAACATGAAGTCTAAGCATTCCAATTTTTGCAAATTAGTCTATACTTATGTGCAACACATAGTAATGTTAGTCTACTAATCGGAACAAGAGCATATAATGTACCTAAAAATCACATCATGATTAGTAGATGTTGATCTTTGATTGGGCGAGTGGGGTGCTCAATTCATTACCTTCCCCTCTCGTACCTAAGTTCCCGAGCTGATACACTTTGGTGATGACGGACTAATGGCTTTTGGCACGAGTCACGAGTTTCCTAAATTTTTTTTAAAAAAATATTTAGGTAGCGACTCTGAAATATAGCAAAGCAGTCCGAATTGTAGGGCTAATCGTATCCGAGAGGAGCACGAAAAGCAAGCTACAACATGTCATATGAAGCCACTCAAAGCATGCGGCAACACACGTATTCAGGTAAGAAATAATCAGTGATATAAAGTATGATGAGCCGAACCCAATGCATGCAAAAATGGATACAAATCATGGTAATAATAAAAGAAATTATGATGCTATACAAGTACGGTAAGCATGTAAATAAAAGGGAGAAAGGAATGAGGGTTGGAAGACATACACCATGTGTAACAAATTTACCCCCACACAAGAGGGTCCCAATGTCCTAATTAACTAATTATTACAAACATAAATGAATGAACTAATTAACTAATTATTACAAAATATGAATCTCAAAGTAACTAAATTAAAGGAATTGAATGAGCGGCGAGGAATCGCGTGCGCACAAGCAAGAACATCGTTCGGAAACCTCTCTGTTTGTTGTTAGAAATTGCCCTTTTCGCAGTCAGAAAACAGCTATGTTTTGGCCTCAAGATCTGCTCTGTTTTGCTGGAAAATCACCACTGTCGCACAACATGTTTGGTCGACTGGTGTGATCAGAGGTCGGCCGTACAGAATAATGGCCGGCCGGCCACTGTTTCTGAGGAAAACCCCGCTGCAACATAATTGGAACAGAGTAAGATAGAGTGTTTTCAAAAGATGTTCATCCTTTTTGCTCCCTCTTGTCATGAAGATTTTTAAGGAGGGAATAGGTTTGCTTCCCATATCATCAATCATCACAAGTTTGTTGCATGATAATCTTAAAAGCAATAGGAGGAGACTTAGCTAAACAAAAAAAAAAAGAAAAGAAAAAAAAAAGATGGATATTCTCCTCACCTCCTTCCCCTATCATGAATTTATTCAAGGAAGAGGTAGACATGTTTCACAAATCATCAAAAATCACAAGATAGTATGTGATGATCATAGAGCAACTAAAATGAAAAATAATAATAACTCAAAAATTGTTATCAACTTCTCTCCCTACTCATGGAATAAGGATAAAACATGCATTTCCATGCTTCAAAGTGGAACAAGGAGAGAGTTTTCAATACTTCTTGACAAAGTGCTTTCTAGGAGCAACAAAACAAGTAAGGGAAAAAAAAAAATCAAGAAACAAGCTATCTACCAAAGCTTAAACACACAACTCGCCAAAGTTGTTGACAACTCCTCTTTTATTCATGGAACAAGGATGAGACATCTATTTCCATTTTTCGAAAATGATCAATAAGAGAGTTTTTCGACACTTTGAACACGAAAGCTACTACCTAGCTTCAAGGTGGACAACAATAATATGATAGTAAGAAATTTATCGCTAGGTAATCAAAATTGTAGCGGGGTGGCTAAGCCTAAGCTCTAATCTCTAATCCTCCCATTTCCATAAGTTTCCAAGATACATAAGGAAAGCTATAATCAAAGTAAAACGATAAACTCAAATGGATTGGCCGCTATGTCCTAAACACGCCAAATCCAGGAGGACTTATAACAACATAACTATAATATTCAAAGCATAAATTAACACATTAAATAGCACCCAAATAACACAAAATAGTGCTGAAAATCAATTTTATGAGGTGGAAAAAGTGAGTAAAAATGGAAGAAAGCGAGTAAAAATGGAAGAAAGCCAAGAGGTTTCATCTAGCAAACAAGCCTAATGAAGGGTGACTAACCCCGCCACTTTTTGTAACTTTAAATCACATATTTCAGGCCCAAAATACTTTGAAAACAGTATGTAAAGACAAGAAAAAGAGAAAGAAAAGGTGATGAAAAAGGTTCAAAATTCACCTCTTGAAAGAGAAGATGATCTTCTTAGTTCACAAATCTCAATCTAAACACTCTAAAGTATCTGAAATTATGTTAAAAATTTTAGCAAAAAGCTTCAAGTTTAAGCTTATATGGTGTATCTATTGTATATCTCTATATTTAAGGGGGTAGAGAAGTGTGTTGGACAAGTTTAGGCTTTTGGCAATTTTTTTTCTAACCCCAAACCATAAAGGGAATGTTGTATTTATAGAATTTCAGCTTCTCAAGTTCGAAATATCTCCAAAAAAGACAGCTAGTCCAAATCCCGTGTATGTGAGCAGCTTGCTGTTGTAAAATATCTCCTATGCTGAACATGGCTGGCTGATCATGAGGATGTACGGGTGACCCAATGAAATTGGCCTGCCAGCCATCTGTTGGCTTGCTATGGTTAAGGAAGAAAAAACCAGATTTTGGTCAAAAAGGGGTGCAACGTTTAGGTTTTAAAACTTGAAATCGAATTCTTTTGCTGAAGATCTGAACGATTGCACAGTGTAACATTTCATCATCGGGTGTTCAGAATGAAGCGTCTAAGTCTTAGGGGCAGTCAAAATGAGATGTCTATAGTTACATTGTTACATTTGATAAAAGTACACTAAAGAATTTTTTAATGTGTTAGATTTTTAGAGTGTTAAATTAGAATGTTATGTTTAAAAAAAAAGTACATTAAAGAGTTTTTTTTTTAATTGTTATGTTTAGTAATTTTGACATTATGAGAAAACTTATATTTATCCCTCAATATATAACACACGTACATTTATACTTAGTTTTTTTTTTTTTTTTTTTATGTAATTCACATTAAAATAAAACTTTTAAATTTTTTAAAAAAATTAAAAAAAAGGATCAAATAATTTATAAAATTATTATTTAAGATTTATTGATACTTATTTGGCGGTTGATATTCAAATAATGATTTTGGACAAATAATTAATACACGAATTGAAAAGATAGGGGTAGGAAGGGAAAAAGCGGGTGTGGTGTGGAAATAGAAGGTCGCTAACAGACAAGAGTTCCATTTCCCGGCAAGCGTGCAATCCCCAAACGCTTCGAATTATCACCACTTGAAATTTGTAGAGAGAGAAAGAATAGAGAGAGAATGGGAGCAGTGAAGATCTGGAACGCCATGGAAGTCGCAGAGGAAGCTCAAGAGAACGGCAGCTCTGAAATCCTTTCTTCTTCTCTCACCGTGGATCACACTCTCTCTCTTCCCCAAATGACACCTCCAATCATGTTCGTCTCTCTCTCTATACCATAGACATGTCAATCACAATAGCTTAGCTTAGTCTGTGAATGGATATGCTTAGCTCTAGGGTTCTATTATTTTTATTCGATTTTCTTTATTTTGTATGCACTGTTTGGTTGGGGAGAAACTGAGGGAAAGGAAACGAAAACGGATTTGTGGTCTTTCATTGTATGTTGCTTAGTTACAAGTAAAAAGAGAGCATTGAGCTTTTCCTTTTCGTCTTACAGAAAATAATTGAATTTATGTTAAACAAAGTATGGTATTAGGCTTTGCTGTGCTTCTCTCTCTCTCTCTCTCTCTCGAATTTTTAAATTTTTATTTTTTTATATTGGGGATACAATTGATCTAAAATATTTGCCTGTTTGAATTGTGCTTTCTGTTTTCCTCCGGTTTCTTGGTGGTCAAATGAAGCATATGAGTTCCCATTTGATGTTTTGTTACAGTTTATTCTTTCCTCTTTACATGTTGGTTGTACCCTAACCCTCTTCCATCCCAAACATTTTGGTTGAATTTTGTATACAGAGAACTCTGTAAGGATCTGTTCAAGAAATGGTCAGAATTGGATAATTCACACTTCTCTGTCGAGACTGTTTCTGGTGGCATCACAAATCTTTGTGCGTTTTCCCTTTGTTGTATATCAGTTTTGTAATTCAGTTGGTTGCACTTTTTTGTTAACCTTTTACCCTTCCGGATGAAATTAAATTCTATGAAATAACAGCTTCTGTCTTAAATTTGCCATAATTGAAAACTATACAGTCTTGAGGATATTTTGTGATTCATCCTTGCAGTACTGAAGGTGTCGGTAAGGGAAGAAAATGGAAACATAGTAAACATGACTGTTAGATTGTATGGCCCCAATACCGAATACGTAATCAATCGGGAACGGGAATTGCAGGTGAGTTCTTGAACTCTCTTGGCAGCAACTTTGCTAGAATGTTTTTCTGTACTAAGCTTATATGAGAATAAATCACCATAAACATTCTTGTTTCCTGCAAGTGATTCGAATTGCATATGTTCTTGTGCTATTTACTTTGATGATTATATTTTTTACTCATCAAAATCTTACTTCTATGTAAATGCTTTGAATCAAGATGTGTACTGTGACAACCCCGATCCGTAATTAGCCAATAATACATGGCCTTCGGTAATCTTAGGATTATTGGCCGGTTACGATGCTAAATCTATAGGAGCGGGTTTAGGTCGTGACATGTATAGTCTATCTTAAAAGCTCTATAGAATTATTTGAATTTGTAGTTCATGGTCTTACTAACAAAAATGAGTTAAAGGCACTGCATGTTTAAGGATTTTCATATGGTCAAACCTTGCCCAAGGTAAAAAACTGAGAGGGATTCATCTCACGGCTGTACTTTTGTTCTCATCATTTTGTAATCTTCCACCTTATTTGTCTTACTGAAAATATATTCAAATTGATGCTTTAAATCTTCCAAACCATTTTTGCAGTTGAGAGAAGTAATAATCACTTGGTGGCCTCTTCTTTCTTACCATTTTTTTTTTAATTTAATTTTTTTAATAGTAACAAGCTATGAAAATATTGTTATGAATTGTTTTTCACAGAACAGAGCTCTTAAATAGGATTTCATAGTGGAAAAGTTAAGAGAATTCCTGATGGTGATTTTATTTTCTGTAATTGCCTCTTTTATCATTTCAAAATCTTCTACCCTTTCGGCATGTACCTCTTTGTGAGAATTTATGCACCCTTGAAGGTGCCTGAATCAAGAGGACTATGTGATTCTTAAGGTTATTTTGCTTGATCTTACATAATTCAATTTTGGAACTGATTTAAGAATTGTAATTGATGAAGCCATATAATTGTTTGTTTTATTAGTTTATTTTTATCTGCACTTTCTCTTTTCACGTAAACAGACATTGTTGTATTGTAGTCACAGTAATATATCAATAATCAACACACTTGAGCTAAAAATTTTGTATATAAGGTAAAAGTCTTGTCATCTTTTTCCAAGAGGAGTCCTCTCATTGTTGAACAATAATATGTGAAACTTTGATATGAGTTCACTACTTTCTGGGATGTTTGTTTTCCGAGTTAAAGTCAAAGCATTCCTTAATGCCATTGTTAAATAGATGGCATCTTACTTTATGTTTTACGACCCTTCCACCTCAAACCCCAATGACTACCCCAAATTACGATATGCTACTTAACCTGTCAATTGTTTACTCCACTCCATAACTATTTGCCTCATATTTGTATTTAGGCCATTCGATACCTTTCAGCTGCAGGATTTGGTGCCAAGTTGCTCGGAGTTTTTGGAAATGGCATGGTGCAATCATTTATAAATGCACGCACGTTAACTCCACCTGGTAAGTTTTTTTATGATACTGATAAGGGGATTTTTTGGATAATGAATAGGATATTATATCTGTGGAACTATATATGACCTTTGAAGACCTCTGTAACATTTCAAAGACTTGGCCAAAAGATTCAAGAAAGAAAGGAAATGCTAAATCACTAGAGAATCTCTAGTTGATTGCTACTAACCAAGGTTTTAAAAAACAGTGGCAGTTACCATAAGGGTAGCAGTAATGTGGATGCGGTTGCGGCGTGTAATGGTTGTAGCGTAACGGTGGCGGCTACTGGAGCTGTGAATTTTTTAATTCTTCGCACAACTTTAGAAAAACATACTAATACGCATGTTTTTATTTCATAATCACATTTAGTGAGGCTCAAAATGATTTTTAGTATTTTTGTTTAGTTTTAAAACATGATCCAATATATATACTAATTTTTATATTAGTTTTAAGTCGCTATGGAGAATTTTCCTATTATTGAATTTATTAATTTTCTTTACTTTACTAATTATAATTATGGACAACTTTTCTGATTTGTTAAGAAAAAAAAAATGAATATTAAAAACAATAGTATCATAAATAGAAGTTCAAAATACAAAATGTCAACATAATAATGTAAAAATATATAACATGAAATTTAAATTTTGTTCAATAAATTTAACATAAGAGAAATAGATTAAGTTCATATTCAAATATAATTAAGTAAAAAAGTAATGAAATCTTGTAGAACTTGAACATTGGACATTCAAAACATATGTAGATAATATTTCTACTTAAGTTCTATGTAACTAGAAAATAAAAAGAAAAAATAGCAATATATACAAAATTTATTAAAATATATATATATAGAAGTGTAACGGTTGTAACGGCTGTAATGGTGCTGTAATGGTAATGTAATGGCCGCCACGGCCTTTACGTAACGGTGGTAGCCGTTACGGTCGTGAATTTCTGTAACACCGTTGTAGCGGCCGCAACGGGTAGCGGTAATCACCACAACCGTTACGTAATGGCATTACGTAACGGTCGTGATCACGCAACGGTTGTGACCGCTTTTTAAAACCTTGCTACTAACTATAATGTGCGTGACTAATTACAGAATTTTTCTTACTGTATGATTAGCAGTTCTTTAAAATAAATCACCAAATATTTCCATGTTGATATGCCGCAATGCATTGTTCTCGATCTCCCCTCTGTCTTGGTCCTTGAAGGTGTTTGCTTTTATTGCAACATGGGACCGACTCAGAAACTTCAGTTTTCTATTGAAATGGCATATGAATTCCTGAGAGTTCTGATGACCAACAACCTTGAGTTAACAGATCTTGTTTTACTGACAGACATGAGTAAGCCAAAGTTGGCTGCTGAAATTGCGAAGCAGCTTCGTAAATTCCATCAGGTGGAAATTCCAGGGTCAAAAGAACCTCAGCTTTGGAATGACGCTTTCAAGTTCTTTCAGAAAGGTTCTTACCTGATTAATGCCTAGCTCCCTCCACTTAGTGATGGGTACTTATAGTATATATTTTGTCCTTGAATAATAATAATTTATACTCTAAATTTGGCTGTTGATAATATCTTCTTATGTAAATCACTGTCATCTATTTCATATTACTTTTCTCATGTCGAAGTAAATGTCTATTCTTGCAGCATCCACACTTACATTTCATGATAGTGAGAAGCAGAGGATTTATGAAACAATTTCATTTGAATCCATTCATGCTGAAGTGTTTGAGCTCAAGGTAGTCTCTCTTCTCATAACTTGCTTGTAATTGCTGTAATATTATTGGTTGTTTTTTCTTTTTTAATTAAAGGATGGGAATATGAATATCTCTGCCAATATGTCAGTTCAGCTGAAGGGTCTATCTTGGTGTGAAATGCGTAATATATATACATTTTTTCTGGTCAAGTTAGCCACTTTGTGCAAATTATGCCAAAGATTGGTTCTATACCCAATCAACCCTCCCAGACCCCCATCCAATGGGCACTAAACTCGGCGTACATTATAGACCATTCACATTGACTTTTGATGCCTCTGTACACCTATTGGAAGGACTTTGTTTACTTGTCTACTTATACCGTGTGTATGATTAGTGATACAAGGTTCAAAGGTGCAGGAAACCTGGCCACAAAAATCAAGATAAGCAAGTTAAATATTGTTTCTCCTTTTTCGTTGCTGAAGAGACTTTGATGCTTGGCCTTTTCTTAACATCCATGGATGGAAATTGCGCAACTGATAAATCTAGATAAGGAGGTTCTTAGAAGTAGATGCACATTCGTTTATTACTGTGTCAAGTTATTATTACTTAGATGGCTTACTTTGAGATTCTCACTGAAATGATGTATGGATAAATATTGAGGTTGAGAAGGAGCCAGTTGGTGATTAAGTAATTGAATACACACCATATTGTCAAACTTTATATTATGTTCCTTGGCCTCAATTTCATCATTTTTTCCTCTGATATTCAGATTATTCTACTTTTTTAGCCTTAAAATATTTATTTGCAGCAATTATTGTGGAGTGTCATTGCAATCAACATTTTTGTGTCTTTTGAACTCTTTCATCTTGAGGCAACATGGAAAAGAGTTCACAAAACCAATCTACCGATCTGGTTTTGGCTGATGAAGTCAATTTTATTTAGTTTTTGGATACCTTCAGAAGTTCCTTTTCAGTTTGGGATTATCATATGTTGATTGACTTGTGGAGAAACATCTTGTGATTATGGAACAGGAATTGACAGGCCACCTTGATGCTCCTGTGGTGTTTGCTCACAATGACTTGCTTTCTGGAAATCTGATGCTCAATGATGAAGAGGGTACATACAACCATAACTTACATCTGCACTTCTTTTTTTGGTGACAGTATCATGATATGTTACATCTTTACGAATTTTATTCCTCATTTCTCACTCTCTATCTCCCTAAACATTCACTCACGAGTCACCAAGTTCTCTATGTAATCAAAATAATACCTCTGTCCCATTTTTTGCAGCATGGTTGACCATTTACATAGTTCAAGGAAAGATTTGTTGCATAGGAAGTTTACTAAAATGCCTGGTCTCATTTGAATTTTTTCGGGGAATTGTGAGCGCTTAGATAAAAATTGAAGAACGGTAATATGGAAAACTGATGATTAAATTTATTGAGGTACAAGTATCATGGGTTCACAGATACAAATGAGGAATCTTACCAGCACAAAGATGATATATCTGCTCAGATCCACCATATTGCTATCCTCAAGTTGGTGGTTCATTTTGTGTTGGTGTATGGATGGAGGAAGTTAGAATTTATATTTTTAAATTCCTAAAACTACCCAAGGTTATGAAATAAGGAGAAATAAACAATTTTTGGCATTCAATCTAAATAGAGGTGTCTGATGTGATGAACTTAGAACAGATCATAAAGTGAGGTGTCACTGCTGGAAGTGTCATCCAGGGGAGCAAGGCTAGAGTTTGCTATTTCCCATCAATTCCATATGATTTGCTACTATCATTGCTTTACCTTCTTAGTGACCCCCATCTTTGTTGCTTGACATCCAGAGAAACTCTACTTCATTGATTTTGAGTATGGATCATACAATTACAGAGGTTTTGACATTGGAAATCACTTCAACGAATATGCTGGCTATGATTGTGACTACAGCTTGTACGCCATCTTCTTTTCTCTTCCCTCCTTGTCTGCTATGATGATTACATTCATAGGTATGAGTTATTGATTCTTGAACTTGGTGTTCATGTAGATATCCTAGTAAAGAAGAGCAGTATCATTTCTTCAGGCATTATTTGGATCCTGAAAAAGCACATGAGGTACATGAGGATTACAAACTTGTCCAACTTACAGCAATTCTGCATTAATCATGTTTCTTTAATGGGGTTTTGAATTAGTGAAAGCAAAATGTTCTTTAATTATGTTTGATGTGCATTTGATGAAGTTAAAATTATCGCTTGTTCACAAACAACACACCCATTAACACATTACGTAAAAAAGGACCCACCTTATCTTTTTGCTCCTTGACTGTTTGTGAGGTCGCATAAATTTATTTTATTAGCGCCGACTGTTATGCTATGTTGGGTATAAAGGGGAAATGAAGGAATGGAAGGGAAAACAAAAGGCTTGATAGGGATTGAAAAAAAAAAAAAAAAAAAAAAAAAAGGGCTTGATAGTGAAGGAAGTAAAAAGAAAAGCGAGTTCATTGTCTTTTGTTGGTTACAAGAGAACATTGAGGGTTTTTTTTTTTCCCGATTTATTTTACCTTAAAATTTAGATGTTGTATTTAAATATAAATAAATAAATAAATTTCTTTGGAAATTTCTTGTATGTAATGAAAAAAAAGAAGTAATGTGACTTGTTATTGTTATTGTAGTTTGAAGTCATCATTCATGGCAAACAGATCAGTCGAGCTCTCCAAGATTTATCTGTCACTCATAAATAGTTAAGATTTGTATTTACAAGCTGACATGACTTTCTTTTGCCTCGCAGATGTTGAGAATATTGAAATTGAATTGAAAAACATAGTAATTATGGTGGAAGCAGCACAAGGTTGACGTTTGGACCATGTTGTACCCACCACGAAATAATTACTTGAACATTTAAGGGGAACTTACTGATAGATCCCACACAGATAGTTCAAAACCCATCTAGTTCCAAAACAAAATACTTGTACCAATTAGTCGTATATATTTTTATTTGTTATAAAAAAAAAATATTTTTTTAAATTTAAAGACGCTGTTACGTCCCACCACCACCACCGGACTTCTGTTAGATGGTCATCGGAAACTTGTCGGAATGTTCAACATCACCGGGAAGTTGTAGGGGTATCACCGGAAATTTGCCATAGTATTGTTAGAGTGTTCTAAATTATTGAATATAGAGATTAGAGTACATAGAGTCTTTTTATTTTTAGTATTATGTATATAATCTGTGATTGTGTCAATTACTGATTTAGTATTGTTTCCTTATTTATATCATTTCTTAAATTGTATTATGAATCTATTATATATACATGGTCTCTACCTCATTCATGGGTTAGCCAAATAATTCTTTTAATTCTTTTTTGTATTAAAGTTAGGTTGAGTACCTAGAAATTTTGTTTCACCGGTGGGCGGCAACCTTGCCTTGGCCGCCCGCCAGACCTCTACCCATTCCATTGTCATATTTTCTTTCAGTATCACTTCGAGGTGATCTCTTCTCTATCTGGCGCACAACCCAAGTCGTTCCTTATGGCGCACAACCCAAGTCGCCCCCTTGGCGCACAACTTAAGCTGCCTCTCTTGGCGCACTTTTTAATGAGCTGCCCCTTGACGCACTCAGTCATTTGTTGCCATCATCGTTCAGCACCACGTCATAAGTTATGTGTGTGCTACGCTTGCTAGTTCAACATCCAGTTCTCTACAATGGTCCGATATGACCCCTTAAATTGTCTCGACATTAGTTTCAACCAGTTTTTACAACGGTCCGGCACGACCATAAATTATCTCCCGGCATTAGCTCCGGCCTCTGCTGTCGACTAGGGTCTTGTTGGTTGCTGATCAGGGTGTTTGGCTATAGATGCTTCAGCAGCTCTTTTAGGGTAGTTCAGTCCTTGTTTTTTTCCCTTTATAGGGTCTGGTGCTGATGTATTAAGCACTTTTTGGTCTTTTTTATTTAGTAGACTATTAAATTTGTTCGGTAGCATTTATTTGGACTAACCATTGACTCATTGAGTTTTTTTCAGGCTTTGGTGCTGATGTATTAAGCACTAGATTTGTTCGGGATTTGTTCGGTAACCATATTTGTTCGGTAGTATTTATTTGGACTAACCGTTGAGATTTTTTCGGCTTCTTCCAGTCATCTCTTGGCAAGTTGTGATTGTTAAATATCTTTACACCAGCTTCACTGGAAGTCGCCGAAATGTCTAGAATGTTCCCTAGATGCCAAGAGTATTGTTGGAGACTCATTGGCATGTCCAGAATATTGCTGGGAAAAAAGAATAAATTAAGAAATTAGAACGAAAAAAATAGCAAAATATGTTAAATATTGATAAACTGAAAGAAAAAAAACAAGTAAGAACAACAAACAACAACAATGGGAAAAAAACATATGTTATTTTCAATTTTTCTAGAGTTTAAGCAAATAATCTCTAATATTTATCAAACTGAAAAGTAAGTTTTGAAACTGTAAAATGTTATAGCTTCAAAACATGATTATATTAAGCGTTTGTCCTTATTAATGAAATTGAAAAATATGTCATGAAACTGCAAAATTTTACAGTTTTAAAGAAAGTTATGAAACTGTAAAATTTAACTATTCTAAAGAATGATTCATTCTTGCACAAAACCCAAAAAAAAAAAATTGAAGTTGTAAAATTTTACAGTTTTCACCCCCTGTAACAAATTAAAAAAAAACTCAAAATTTGTTTCCATTATAACATGAAAATAGAAGTGTATAGTACAGAAAAAAGGTAAAAAAACTAAGAGATCGAAGGAAAGTGATAGATATAGAGATATGCTTGTACTCCGGTAATTATTTTTGGTTTAGATCTAGCCGGATCTAGATCCACATCAGATTTGAGTAGATCTATTCATCTTCTTTGTCGGAAACTTTTATGTTTCGTCGTCGGTGAGTGCGAAGTAAGCAGTCGGTGCTCAGTGGTTGCCGGTGAACCCCGATCAATGCTGGTCTCCAGTGACTATAGATTAGAAAGAGAAAGAAAAGAACGAAGGTGTGGTCGTGGTTGTCGTCGGATATTAGAGAGAGAGATAAAGAGAAGTAAGGTGCAGAGAAAGAGGAGAAGATAAATATAATATGCACTTTTCAGAAGTTTTGGGTCTATTTAAAAAGTTTTGGAATTAAATAGGATATACACTTTTCAAAAAGGATTTATAGGTAATTTGCCCAACATTTAATCTGCATTGGGCTCTCTAACACCTTGATTGAACAGAAAGCTTGCACATTATCATGATATGCACATAATTTGAACTGTGGAATAATACCAGTAAGCTGTTCTTAACAACAGGTATCTGACAAAGATCTAGAAGCTCTCTATATCGAGACAAACACTTACATGTTGGCTTCACACTTGTATTGGGCTCTATGGGCTCTAATCCAGGTACTTTCCGTTCTTCAAGCTTTGTATTCCAGTCCCAGAAGAACAATGAAAATAATTTTAATTCAAAAATTATTTGTTTTCATTCGTCACAGGCAAAGATGTCTCCAATTGATTTTGATTACCTTGGTTACTTCTTCCTGAGATACAATGAATACAAAAAGCAGAAGGAGATGTGCTTCTCGCTGGCACAATCTTATCTCTCCAGATCTCGGGTTGGGTGAAATTGGCCATGCTACACATTACTAGCATGCTGCTGTATTCTGTGAAATTGTAGGGAGAGGTCCATTTGTGAAGCATTCTTTTGGGCCAATTTAGGAGAAAGAAAGCGGAAACAGATTCGAAGAAATAGTTGTGACTGCTGGCCGTGATATTGCATTTTGTGAACCTTGTATTTTGGTCAATAATAAATTTGTAGCTTGTTTTATTTCTTGGATAACCTTCATTTTCTATTGTTGGAAAGTTTGGATAAATAATTGTGATTTCAGGATTACCTGAAAGCATATTGTTGTAATGCAGAACCAGCCAACCTTTTTTTTTTTTTTTTTTTTGTTTTTTCACATTCAAAATATTGTGCCATGATGTTCTCCAATTTATCGATATTGTTTTTTCGGTTCAGTTTAAGAACTTTGTTAGTGTAAGATTGTACATTCGGAATGAAAGAACGTGTAATAAAAAAATATACAACATTTTAAAGATGAATTATAGTGAACTTTCTTAAATAATGACTTATTTAAACTGTCCTAATAAATTTCAAAATTCAAAAATTAAAACTAACTCTTTTTATTAGTAATTTATACAAAATCAGGTTATGTGTGAAATACATGACACATTTATTGAATTTTTATGACAATAATGGCCTAGAACAACATAGGATTTCTAGATTTCATTGATTGATTTTATTTGATACTAATGTTGTTTTTTGGACGTGGTTAGGTGTTTAGACAAAGTAGCAATTTGAATAGAGAAAGAAGAGAGTGAAAGTGGTCTAGTAAGCCTGTGGAGACTATGCATAGTCATACAAGTGGAAAAGAAAAAAAAAAGAAGCCAAATGCATTATTGTTACCCATTTGGCAATACACAATCATGTACTCGGTTGTATTCACTCAAATGGCTTCATTTTTCATGAGTCATTGAATTTTTATGATAATAATGTTTTAATTTGGTATTATTATTTTCATTTTACCATTAAGATAAGAAGGTAACATGTAAATAAGATCACTAAATAAAGATATTATTATTCTTAAAAATCAATAAGTGTGTCATGTGTATATGACCTAATCATGTTTAAATATCTAATAGAATCCTAATAAAAGAGGTTTAGTGCAATAAAATAATATTGTGATGTGGTTTACTGTTGAGTTTTGAAATTTAGAAAGACGAAGTGTAAATGAGTTATAATTTAAAAAAGTTTTGTGTAATTTAAACATATTTTTAAGTATTTTAAAAGCACATGTTGACAAGACTTTTGTTTAAAGCCGACTCATAGAAGGATTTAAGCCTTTTATAAAAGCTTATAGAATCTTGCATTAAGAATAAATGAAGAGAGAGTGGAAATTGTTCTATAAATGTGTCATTCCTTAATTTTTATTACAAATGTGTAGGATTTAGTCACTTATCTTCTAATATTCAAAGAATCAAAATATAAAAAAATATTTAAATATAATATTTCAATCGTATTGGTGTAAAATTTTTTAAAACCAAACAAACTCTACCTTCTTAAAAATTTCCCAAAAATTAAAATTTCAATCAATTTTGAGCAATTTAATTCAGTTTTACCGATTTTTTTTTTATAAATATATCTCTAAGTTTATCATGTATTTTAAATTTAGAGAAATTTGGTTATAAAACCCCTCTTAGCTTCCTTGTTAAAAAAATAAAAAAATAAAAAAAAAATAATTATTTACAAAACCCTCTCATAATTATAAAGTTTTGCATAAAAGACAAAAATTGTTATTTTAATATTTTATTTGACCATTATACCCTCTCTTTCTTCTATTTCTTTTACAGTACTCTGTCTCTCTCTTCACTAACTCGATGGTTGTTCATTGTCTCTACCATCTTCATTATCTATCAGCGTCGCTCATCCTCAACGTTGACCGACAACCACCATTTTTACCGTTAAACCACCACCATCTCAAATTTGATACTTATGAACTCATATATGAGATCAATAACTTCATATATGAGACAAATGAATTTAGATTTGATAATAAATAAATAAATAAATAAAAAATGAGAAACCAAAAGAATTTTTTTTTTTTTTTTGATAAATAAAGAAATCAAGAGATTACAATGAAAAACGGTTTTTTTATTTGTTTGTTTGTTCATAAATATAAAAGTAAAATTTGACTTTGATTTGTTCATTATGTGCTCTATTTTTTGTAATAATAAAATTTGACTCTAACTAACGACATGCTGATCTGTTTAACAATAATAAAATTTTACTTCAAATCATAATAATTTTTACTTTGATTCAGAGTAAAATTTTATTCTAAAACACACTGCAAGAATGGCTTTACAAGAGAGAGCCGCATCATGAACCATAGTAAAATTTTACAGTTCAAAGAATAGAGCATCATGAGAAGAAGAAGAAGAAGAAGAAGGGAGAGAGAGAGAGAGAGAGAGAGAGCATAAATGGTGAGTGACACACACAGAGACAACGAACCGTTAGAACCAGAAGGAGAGAGGGTGAAGAATCCCAAATTTGATGTTCACGAACTACAAACCATTATTTTTCCACGACGACGGCGGTGAATGATCTCAAATCTAAGGTCATGGACACAACAAGCAATGGCGGCGATGAAGATAGTAGAGAAAGAGTTCCATGGAGAGCGATGGTGGCATTGGTGGAGAGCAATGGTGGTAAAGAGAGACAAAGAGAAGAGAGATTGAAATGAGAGAGAGTGCTTGCAAATCTTATGTATATATATACAATAAAATAAATAAATTTTAAAATATTAGGAAATTTTGAAAGAATTCATTTAATTCTTATCCTTCAAATTAGACAGTGAGGCGTCTATTACCAAATCTCCCTTAAATTTAATGAAGGTCCCCATGACTAGTTTTATTTTTTATTTTTTTTGTTGAAAACATCAAGTAATTAACCTGACTGGCTAAACTGGCAAGTGCCTAAAATGCAGGACGGTTGTTGTAACTGTAAAACTCTACAAAATGCTTGTGAATTTGGACAATGTGCTCTTCAATTTTCAAAGCCTGTAAAGACTCTGTATCATATATAATTTTGTAACACTAAAGACTACCAAAAAAAAAGGAAAAAAAAAAAACCCTCATTAAGCTAGCACCTCTAATGGAACATCTGATAATTCAACCTACAATCGACACCAACTTACTCCGCACACAGGTTGCAGTCAGCTTGGTGAGTTTCCAACTGTTAACTCCTATGTGCCACCCGCCTTTCATATCTGTGCGCACCTTTGACAATGCCACAATTCAGAATAGTCTTCAAGCTTGAAGAACCTGGCAGTGTACAATGTGACTTTTGAGTCGGTTCCTACCAAGGCTCGACAAGAAATTCGTAACCAAAGTCTTGAACTGCCCTTTCCCAGCAATAGTTTCCCACAAATGTTCGGCACTAGCACTACTTGCATCATCAGATTTCGACACGTTAACTAGAGAGATACTCATGTTATTACGGATAATACAGAGTTTTCCGTTAAGCGGAAGAAGCGCCGCAGCCTCCAAAGCCTTCGAATTCCCCAAATGCATCTTACTATCGATATGTTTGCTCCAAGCGTCGGTCTTTTCATCATAAACCCTAATTTTGCATCCATCTTTACACTCCAAAGCATAGAGCTGCCCATTTAGGGATGTACTAGGGTTCCTCCAGCCTGAAACCATTCCATCGTAAACCGGGTACCAACTATCCGTGTCGGGTTGGTAGACCTCGCTCAGAACCTGTCTGTGGGACCCAATCCCCTTCAAGAACCACTTGCCCTCATAAACAACCCCAATGAACGGTACCATTGCGGTGCTCATATCTGAAATGAAGGACCATCGATTCTTGTTTGGATCATAAACTTCGGCTGATCTCAAGGACCGATGCACACCCTCGTTTTCACCGCCAGCTACGTACAAACAGTTGTTTATGACACAAGAACCAAAGAAATGACGCCTCCGAAGCATATCCGGAGCACGGTGCCATTTATTAGTCCGTGCACTATAAAAAATTACCCGTCTCATGGGACCCTTGATTGGGTCTTTTCCACCGAATAAATAAAGATGACAACCACTGAGCACAGCACAACCAAACCCTAGGGCTTCGGTATATTCTTTTGGGACAGGAGGGAGAGGCTGCCAAAGCTGGTATATGGGATCAAAGGCATGCCATGAGATTTTTCCGTCTCGGTCTCTTTTCATAATGTATATCCATTCTTCTGAGATTCCTAGGTTCTTTCGAAGAGAGTAGAAGAAATTACCAGCCAAAAGACGGTACCATCTTTTGCAGACTAACCGGAGCTTACGATGCTCAACTCTTGGGACCCGGATTAAGCATGCTATGGCAAGATCATCAGGGAGTCCTGGAAGCAGAGGGGATTGACTCCGACTTCTGTCTCCCCGTGCTGGTTTCTGCCTAGTTGGATGAATGGATGGCTTAATGTCGGGCTGAAGACATAGTTTTGTACCGGGAACAAATCTCTTCGCTCCAGCAACAGTTTTGAGGCCTGCATCTACTGTACAGAAACATGCTGTTGTATCTACCTGCAAATATATGACAAGCATTGTCAATTTTGTTAATTTAACGTGTGCCTTATCTAGAAATCAACTCATCACAAGATGTTACGCCAGTTTCCGGAACAGAGATAAGTGATCCACACGCTACATGTATGGTTATGAGCAGCAGTTCCCCAACTATTTATATCTATAGAGATATATTTCAAAAGCTTAACTCAATCATGGCTGAAGCAAAGCAGAGAACTCACTGATCTACTTAAAAAGACTACCAAGATAAATAGCAGAAAGAGTACAATTCTCTATCTATACAACCCAGTAATTGCTAAAACCAGTATCTCAGAAACAGGAAGATGAGGCCCAATGTTTTTAAACCTGGACTGGGTCAAGGGTCACTGGTTCAATCGTCACGTGAACTAGAATCGAACCGTGATGTCATAAATATTTTTAAAATTATATACTATAAAATAAAAATTATAAAGCTTAGTTTTAGTCATTTGTAATACTGTTAGTCAAATTCTAAAACAAGAAGCTTCATTAGCTGGTTGTTTGTTTGTGAATTCATATTTCCCACATTGGAGAAGCACAGTGAGTGAGGGCATCCAATCACATATTAAAAGACTCCCATAATTGCACATTCCCACATCGCTGGCATGTGAAAGTATTGGACCCTTTTTCAGCTCTATAAAGGGCCATACCATAGTGCCTTTAGCAATTGCATTTGTCAGGCGGTTTCGTTGAACAAGGACTCAGTTTAATGGTTCACTGGTTTAATCGCGGTTTTAGCTAGTTTTTTTCATTATACCCCGGTTTTTAAATAGAAACAGTTTTGTTAGTATGTCAGCACCGGCACAAGACTGGTTGACGGGTTTAGTGGGTGAACCGGCCAGTTTGGTCTGATTTTAAAACATTGAGGGGCCTATGCATAGACGAGAAAGTGGGACCTCGGACTTGGTGAAGAGCTCTTGCTGCAGGAGAGGAAAACAGGGTAGGTAAAATGACCAAGACGCCCATCCAAAAGAAACTGTGAGGAAGGGTATCTCGGTCATCATATCAGAAAGTCAAACCTCAAAGAAACTTTTATGTATTTCAGCTATTAAACTTTCCTTATTTGCCATTAGCTTGTACTCATTTGCTCCCTTTTCTAGGATACCTATTGCAAACTAACCTTGCATCATGAATGCTACAAGAAGACTGAGTGATATATCAGTTTACAAAACAGAGAGCGCAATAAGAAGAAACCAGAAAAACTTATGTTACGAGATGTCATGATTCCCACAATAGTTGCATTAGTTACAAGAACTAACATGAGTCTCCTCTAGTTACATTATTGGATCTCAAAAACCCTATTTGCCATGCTCTGGATGCATATTCACCTTTGACAATTGTAAGTTTCCAGGACAAGCCAAAGTAGCATTTAGCAAAGGCACAAGGGATGCTTGTATGCAGAAAATGAAGAAAATGAAATCATTTCAATTAATAATCAGAATTGTCCATTACATCATTTATATAGAGCAATCTCCTTTTATCAATCAAATTAATATTTATATCTTTCCCAAGAACTTGATCAAATATTTTATTTTATTTTTCAAGTTTCTCTTCTCTTTTCAAGACATCACTTTAAAGAATGAACTATTTAGTGCCTCTAAGAAAAAATGAAAACAAAGAACTACAATCCCATTGCTACATACTCCGCAAAATGCCAACAGTATACGTTTCACTATACTTCTGAGTTGCAAGAAACTTATGAATCACAATGACTGCATCAGAGAGCACGAGGGATTTCCAAGAAAAAGTTGAGGGCTCCCGTGAGTAGCGTTCATTTACATGTCTCATTATAGGCAAGGAAAACATGATGGTATTCACAAGAAAAAGAACTTTAAGGGAAAATTAATGAAGTCACACTAAGCATCTTACGGTCTCATTTATAATTGAAGATATATATTGAAATAATATGGATGCTCTCATACAGTATAATACATGTTCATGTAAAGGAGTTCCTAAACCACAGATTAGCCGATTTACAGTACTAGGAGCATTGTAATTTGTAAAATAAATTCAATAATGAAGTCATTCACTATCTGAGGTCCAAAAACAGTCTCAAATGATCTCAACAAGTCTCTTGTGTGGGTTTAGGGAAAAGAAAAACGCCATTTTTAGATAATCACAACATAGATTTACATCATAAAAGAAAACCCACACAGGCTGTGTTTGAACCAATGATTTGAGTGGGGATTTGTAGAGGAAGAGAAAGGTGGGATAAGCATTTTTTTTTTCCCTTCTGTTCATTCACCTTTCCCTTCTCTTCCTTTTTTCCTTTCCCTCCACAAATCACCCCTCAAATCCTTGATCCAAACACAGCCTCAAAGTTCAAGCATATGAATTCAGCATTCCCCGCATGCTTGATCCCAAACATGAAACCCTGGATACATCATTGAAACATATAAAGCAATAGTATAGATCAAAGCAACAAAGGAAAACAAAAAAAATTACCAAAGGTGGCTGAATCATCCTGTCCATTTCTTGAAATCCAGCTTCAAAACCCACTTCAAAAATCAAATATCTATCTGTCACTCATCATCCTACAAGGAAAACAAATACATCAGAAATGCAAAACTCATTATTACTAACCTGACTGCCACAATAAACCCACATCCAAAATTGACCTTCAAAATCAAAATCCAAGCTTACAAATTCAAATGGAATCCTGAATTGAGTTTCTGGAGTACTATATCATAATTCCCAACTACGAAAACTGAAAAACTGATTGCACATCTGATGCCCACAACCTCTCACCCTAGAAAACCCATTTCAAACAATCCAAATCCCATCTCATACTAACTTCAATAAATTCAAAAATCCATCAAGAAAATGAGAAACCCTAATTCAAGAATCACAAGCTAACCCTACTTCAGAGACTAATCAAAGTCCTATAATTTTCAAAACCCATGTCCAAAATCAAACCCATAAGCAAAATCCTCAAATACCAGTATCTTAAAAATCAGAAAGAAAACAAAAAAACTCAAACCTTTATCATCCCAAGAAGCAGAAATGCGAGACAGCAAGAAAAGGAGCAACAAAAAGCAGGGAAGAAAGAGATCTCTCTCTCACCATTGAAATCTTCAGTCAGTGGAGAATAGGGCCCATAAACCCAACGGCGCAACCTACCAAGCACAAGAGACTGTTTGAGAAGACACCTAAAAAGAGAGAAAGAGAGTTGCAAAAAGCAACCTAAAACCTAAACCATTAATGGAAAGGAGATTGAGGTGTTGCATATGATGACATTTTGCTGGTTGGTCTTAACAGAAGAAATCAAGGAACTAGTCTACAAAAACTGATTTGGAATATAGCTCTTGGTCTAGTCAGGTAGAGAGAGACATTTATTATACAAAGATCACACAGAGAAAAACTGATTTGAATAGTGTTTGAATTCTCTTCATTTGGTAAAAAGATTGATTGGGTTTAAATTTTTTTTTACGTCATTTAATTTGAGACAACAGTTTGAGTTTTGTGGACTTTAATTTGGGAATCTTGACCCACTAATACACCTTTTGAGAGTAATGGAGTAACATGTGGAAAAAAATTTAACATGATCACGTATTAATAGTTGTATATTTGAATTATATTTATTTAAAAAAATATAAATAATAAATTATTATTTTTATAAGATAAATATAATTCAAATATATAATTATTAATATTTAACCACCTTGATTTTTTATATTAATTTTTCTACATGAATCTTGAATAAACTGCTCATATCATCAAAGTTGATCGCAAAACGAACCATTGAGCCCACTTACTTTCTCAAGTTAGATGATTAAGTGAATCTAAACCCTTGTTAATAGGCAAATTATACTTGCACTCAAATTTAGAGAAAATACAAATAATCTCATGTTTTTGATATAATTATATTGATTTTTCATATAGTACGGCTAAAACAGCTAAAATTAATGTAGATGGTAGGTAAACATTCAAATAAATAAAGATAGACATATATTTTAGTTAAAAATAAATGATAATATCATTTTTTTTCCGTACATATGACTAACGAATTATTAATTAAAAATAACATAACTATTATGTGAATAGAAAAATCAAGAAGGCTAATGTAATTATGTAAAAGTGTGGGCTAATTGTAACTTTTTTGAACCATAGGATAGGTCTGTAGTTTACCCTTTATTTATTCATTTAAACTACACTGATCTTCTTTAAAAATTTTGGAAAAAATTGAATTGGTCCCATAGATTTGACATAATGTGGGCATTCTTGAGATTTTAATTCAGGATGGTAAATAAAAAAATATAAATAATAAATTATTATTTTTATAATTTATAAGATAAATATAATTTAAATATATAATTATTAATATTTAATCAACTTAATTTTTTATATTAATTTTTCTACATGACACCTGAATAAACTGCTCATGTCATCAAAGTTGATCGTAAAACGAACCATTGAGCCCACTTACTTTCTCAAGTTAGATGATTAAGTGAATCCAAACCCTTGTTTAATAGGCAAATTATACTTGCACTCAAATTTAGAGAAAATACAAATAATCTCATGCTTTTGATATAATTACATTGATTTTTCATATAGTACGGCTAAAACAGCTAAAATTAATGTAGATGGTAGGTAAACATTCAAATAAATAAAGATAAACATATATTTTAGTTAAAAATAAATGATAATATCATTTTTTTTCCGTATATATGACTGACGAATTATTAATTAAAAATAACATAACTATTATGTGAATTGAAAAATCAAGAAGGCTAATGTAATTATGTAAAAGTGTGGGCTAATTGTAACTTTTTTGAACCATAGGATAGGTCTGTAGTTTACCCTTTATTTATTCATTTAAACTACACTGATCTTCTTTAAAAATTTTGGAAAAAATTGAATTGGTCCCATAGATTTGACATAATGTGGGCATTCTTGAGATTTTAATTCAGGATGGTAAACATTCTTCAAAAGCTATATACTATATGTACCTTATAACTTTAAAAAAAAAAAAATGACCTTATTTCATACTTTTTGAGTCATAACTAATATATATATATATATATATATAGCATAACTAAACACAATATGAGGCACAATTAAAATAAGAAAATTGATCATAACTAATATATATATATATAACTAAGTGTGCATATGATATACCCATTTCAAGGGTGTGTATATTAGAATTTCCCTTTTAATTCACATAACATTTAATGTTGCTCATCGATAATTTGTTAGTTATATAGATGAAAAATGATAATGTCATCTCTTTTATACAAAAGGCTCGTTTGTTTGTAGAGTTAGGTTGGGTGGGATTGTTAGTATGAGAATTGTTAGTAGAATTGAGTGAGATGACTAAGAAAAATTATATTTGTTTGATGATCATCTGATCAATAAATTTTTTTGATTGTTTTATTATTCGTGTGGTAGAATTGAGTGAGATGATTAAGAAAAATTATATTTGTTTGATGATCATCTGATCAATAAATTTTTTTGATTGTTTTATTATTCTATGATAGGATTAACTAATGAAACTTCATAAATATCTTTGGTATTTTTAATATATATTAATATTAATATTAAAATTATATTTTGTAAGTATAATACATATATTTTTGGGTACAATATTATCTTAATTTATTATTTTTGCATACATATATTATTAAATTATTATATTTTAATATTAAAAATTATCTTTATATTAAATTATTTTTCAAGATAGTAAATTATCTTTATATTGAATTAGTTTGTGGATTGAAGTGCACACTAACTTCTATTAACAGAATATGTAAATTGACAGTTATACCCTTATCTTCTTCTTTTATTTTTTTTTTTAAATTTTTTTTTATAATGTTTCCCAATCTGAGTTGAGAAACACTGGCAACCTCCATTTTAGGCGAAACCCATACCCTTCTTCTTTCTCTCGGGCAGTCCCTAACTTTGCCTTATCTTTACCTCAATTTCTGGCAAAACCCACATCTTTCTTCTTCATCAAACATCACCAAAATTATATTTTACATGGATATATACATATGTATGTATGTATGTATGTATACACACAATGAAGAAACTGAAATCAAAGAGGACAATTTTGAATTTCCAATTCATCTAACACACACACACACACACGTGTGTAGATGTACAATGAAGATTGCCACATATATATATATATATATCTGTGTTATGTTTTAAAAAAAAAAAAAAAAAAAAAAAAAAAAACTCTTAGTTTTCTGTTGGTTCTCTCTCTACACCTTTCTTTTTCTTCTTCTTTTTCAACTTCGTCCTCTCTTTTAACAAAACTTGCAACAATGGCCAATGAATGAGAGAAGGAGACAAACCATTAGGAGTAAGAAAAAGGTAATCAAACCCACCAACCATAAACAAAAATTGAACAAAGAAATCAAACCTACCACCATAAAATTAAATATCTAAACAAATCAAAAATCCCAACTCACTATTTATATGAGATCTAAATAGACCAAAAATCCTCCATTCTTATGAGAACCAAAGATCTAAATAGACTAGAAAAAGAAAAAAAAAAAGATGAAAAGTTACAGTCTTTAGTATAAATATACAAATCTCAACTCACTGTTTATATGAGATCTAAACAAACCAAAAATTTCCCATTCTTATGAGAACCAAAGATCTAAATAGACCCAAAAAAAAAAAAGAATAAAGAAAAAAGAAAAAAAAGAAAGATGAAAAGTTACAATCTTTAGTATAGATATACAAATCCCAACTCACTGTTTGTATATATATACACACATGTGTTGCACTCATTTTGGTTACAAATCCCATACTTCAATCTTAAATATGTATATATGCATATATGTATATATATATATATATATATGTGAAGAGATGAGTTGCCATTGATTAAGATAGATTTTAATGAAAACTATTTAATTTCTATGTATATATATGAGTGCTATTATTTAATTGCAAGAGTAAAGTGAGAAACAATAGAAATAAAGGGAGGGGAAACATAATGGCGATGAAAAGTTACAATCTTTAGTATAGATATACAAATCCCAACTCACTATTTGTATGTATATACATACATGTGTTGCACTCATTTTGGTTACAAATCCCATACTTCAATCTTATATATGTATATATATATATATATATATATGCATATATGTGAAGAGATGAGTTGCCATTGATTAAGATAGATTTTAATGAAAACTATTTAATTTCTATGTATATATATGAGTGCTATTATTTAATTGCAAGAGTAAAGTGAGAAACAATAGAAATAAAGGGAGGGGAAACATAATGGCATCTTTGGTAAATTTGAAGATGTAAAAAGGATATTTTCGTCTTAAAAATTAACTTACTTTCCACAGAGGTGCATGGCTCTCACATTCTGTTATCTTGGACGGAACTATTAACCGTGCGTTTTAGTCCACAAACAATATGAGGGTTATGTCGTGATTTCCAAATGTCAGGGGGGTAATCCGCACCTGGCTCAAACCACAAGGGGTAAAGTGAAGTTTTTCCTATATTAAATTATGTAAAAGTTCTCATTATATAAAAGGTAACTTGGTTGTTTTTGTAAAATGGGGGACAAAATAGTCATTCATCTCTAATTCTGCGATAATCTCGTTTTGTGTTATACCGTTTATTCTAAATTATGCTTGTGCTTATGTGCTTAATATGATTTTAGGTGCTACTTATGTGATTATATGTGTTTTTGAATTCATATCTGTCCATCGTAGGAAAATCTGTCCTGTATTCTGTCATAACCTAAACTTGAAGGCTGTACAGGCAACAGAAACCGAAATTGACCGCATCAATATGACTAGTATAATTTTTAGAGCTTCCAGTGAATTTTAATTAAAAATTGATTTGGATTGAATTAATTTGATTAAGCATAACCCTTGATTAGCCAATAAGATTAGTTAAGTGTATATATATATATATATGTTAATTCAAGTGCTTAAGCTCATTTTGAACTCAAAAAACTGCCAAGAGAGCTTAAGAGAGAGAGAGAGAGAAATCTTGATTTTAGAGAGAGAAAAGGTGTGGAAGATTGGAATTGCTTAGTAAATTGATGGATAGTGAAGATTAACTCAAGAATTGCTTAACACAAGTGTTGATCAAGACCCTAGGTAAGCTTTTGAACCTTAATTTATGAGCTTAAGTCAATAATTATGAGTATTCAAGAAGAATTGGTGACTTAGTGCAAGATATGAATTTCATATGAAGAATTTGGTATTAAATCACACATGCATACATAATTTTGTTGAGTCTCATGAATATAAGTATCATTTATACCATTGGAGATGGAATTAGAGACTATATTTCATATGCATGCATAATCCATGAAGTCATGGATCGAGTCTTTCGTGAGTTCTTAGATCGATTTGTGGTTGCCTTTGTCGACAACATCCTAGTTTTACTC